GACACACAGCTCTGGGAGTACAACACAAAATGCTTTATTGGTACAGCCAATTTATACACAGACCCCCACAGGGGGTCTCCATTCTAGTCAGTACAAGCCCCAGGCTCGAGGGGGATGGCTTACAGATAACCATCTCCCGCTCTTGGAGATACAATCACTACAACAAATACATACAGTAATGCACATCACATACACTTGGGGAATCTTAGAGGAAGAGAAGGGGACACACATATAAAACATACATACATGGATAGCTCTTGATCCCAGCTCTGATCCCTGCAAATAGCAGAGTTATCAGATGTTCAGAGCCCGAGAAATCATCATGTAAAGTCTGGGTTTGAGGCTCTGTACATTCCTGAAAACAGTTCCACGGAATCACTTGGCTTAGGCCGGTAGAGGCTGGTAGGGGAGGTGTCTCGCCGGCCTATAGGGAGAAAGGGCGCAAAGCCAACTTGCACCAATCGGCGCTCGGGGAGGGGATGTGGTTTGCCAGCCAAAAGAAAGGGGACAAAACCAGTTTGAATGGTAGCCCATTGTTGGCTGGCACAGACTTCCAGATGTCCAGCGTGACTTTGCGGCCGTGAAGCCGACTCATAGTTCCAAGGATTCTGATAATCACCAGTGCTTCCAAGAACGAGGTACAGACAAGGGATATCCAATAAACGTAGTCAGGGATGAAACCAAGGGTCAGGACAGGCAGCAAACAGGCAAGAAGGAAGGACGAGCAGAAGATCAAAACCAGAGTCAGATGAATAGCAAAACAGGAACAAACAGGAACAAGCAGAAGTAGCCAGAGATGCGTGGAGCCAAGGATAAGGTATATGGCTGGGATGCAGGAGACCCAGGTTTGAACCCAACCAGGACCACATACACAATAAATGCAGAAGGCATGATGACAGTCGTGACAGTACCCCCTCCTCAAAGCCACTGTAAGGCGAAAAAGAGGCAGGACGTCATCACTTTTTCTTAGACTTTCTGGTCTTGGAGTTACCAGCTTGAGCAGGTTCCATAGCAAGCAGTGCCAATTCAAAGACCAGAAAATCTTCTGTACGGAGTCCCATTGGAAGCGTACGTACAGCCAGGAGGTGGATGCTTACCAACAGGGTCATCAGATGTTGTGGTAACTGTCATTTTAGAAGTCGATTCCACCACCGTAGTAAGATGATCTGGTTTCTCCTTGACAGTTTGCAAGACCTCAGGAGTCACAGCCTTAGGAGGGTGTGGAGTGGTCAGGGTGGCCAAACACGGACATGTAGCAGGATGGTATACAGGCCCCGCAGGATATGAATGGGTAGTACCCAGTCGGAGAGCTTGAGGCCTGGATGGGCAAACAGGACAAAAAGAAATATAATGTCCCCTCTCCCCACAATAAAAACACAGTCCGTGATCCCTCCTTCTTGCCCTTTCACGGGGTGACTGTCTGACCGAGACCAACCCTATCTCCATAGGCTCCTCGGTCTCCAAGGCAGGTGCATACAAAGTCCCAGGGGCTTCAGGCAAGTTGGTAGCAGTAGGGCTTGCTAAGTTCTCATACCAAGTGTACGGGGCAGTATATTCCATGACCTGTCTAGGATGCAGTCTACGTGGAGCTACAGAAGGCGTCCTGTGAACGCAAGGCTTACGTGTATTAGTGCTTTGTGTTTCCAGTGACCGAATGAAAGATCCCCAAGAATCCAGGATCGGATCTTCGGTGAGCAGCAATTGGTGTGCCTACATCTTAGGTTGCCATGACAGTAGGGTAATGGCTGTTCTCACCTTAACGAAATCCATAACATACGTCATAGGTTTCAGGGAGAACAGAAGCTGACAGTCCATCTTGAACATAGCAAATTTGACCGAATCCCAGAATATCTCTCAGGCAAGTTCACCAGCGGTTCTTCATGTTCAGGGACACAGGGTACTTTCCCTTTAAGGGAAGCCAGTTCATGCCATACTCCCTGTAACGCTTGGGTAAGGTGGGAAACCTACTGGGTCAAGGCGGCTAGGGTTTGCTTTAACTCCGCAGACTCCATGGTCAGATCGTACTGTAAAGATCTTACCTTGAGAGTGAAGTCAATAAGCAGAGTTAAAGCACCCTTTGCAATTATACACAGACCAAGGTAGAAATTCCCAAGGCTGTGAACCAGTGCACTGGGGCTGATAATCACCAGTGCTTCCAAGAACGAGGTACAGACAAGGGATATCCAATAAACGTAGTCAGGGACGGAACCAAGGGTCAGGACAGGCAGCAAACAGGCAAGAACGAAGAACGAGCAGAAGATCAAAACCAGAGTCAGATGAATAGCAAAACAGGAACAAACAGAAGTAGCCAAAGATGCGTGGAGCCAAGGATAAGGTATATGGCTGGAATGCACAATAAATGCGGAAGGCATGATGACAGTTGTGACATTACGGCTCCTTTAGGAGCAGGTAGGGCGTTCCCCCGCACGGGGACCTGAAAACAATGCAGGCAAGCAAATAGGCACATGTGGGGATGGCACTCAGTGACAGCGTTCCATCACAATGTAAATCTAGATATATTGTAAATAATGATCTATGTCTATATAACAGAAAACATATGCAGGATACAGAATGGCAAACCATTTAACATAGGGAAAATATATCACTGAAGGGTTCTGGAGACATCATAAAAAATGCAGTATTTAAGGTTGAGTAATTTATAAATTATCTCTAACTGTGAGATTAAATTATTTCACTCTAAACCATGCTTCACCAATATGTATCGTTTATGTTACATGATATATATAGGTAGGGGTAGTGAAGGGGGTCATGGTTAGAGTTAGTTTTTAGTGATAGCCTACTTTTTGTGTAGGGGTTAATGTTCAGCGATAGAGTAATGTAAGGCATAATGATTTGTGATAATGATAGTATCATAATAGAGTAGTGGAGTAGTTTAGGTGTTAATGTGTATTGTATTGTGGGAGTCACTATTTATTGATATTGTAGTTTAGTATAAACGTTAATTAAAGGACTCTTCTGGGTAGAACTGGGACATAGATGTGGCTTAATGGGAGTTACAGTCATGGACTGTCATGCTGTTTCAGCATTTACTATTAGAATGGCACACGTGTCATTAAGGAATGAAAGTTCACTAATCTCTGGAAGACTGAATGTATGTCCCAGTACTGTCAGAGATTAGGGATTCAGATTGCACAGAGCTGATCCATCAATCAATGTATTATCGGAGAGTGTGTTTCTGTCAGTCAAAGTGTGTGTTAGTCTTTAACAGGAAGAGATGTGCCTTGACAAGAAGGGTTGGGGCAAATGTAAATTAGGGGGTGCCAGAGTTCCGTCATGCCAAGGGCAGCACAGATCCAAAATACACCACTGCTGTTGAGTGTTCCATGCACCCTCCAGGCTTGCAGTGGCAAGTAACATTTAAGGCCTGTCTAGTAGCATAGGACTTTAAGTTTTAAGTGGATGGGTCTCAAAGCATTTACTTTAATGCAATAATGCATTATGAGCGATAATATGTTAGATAAAAACAAGGCTGACATTTTGCCAATTAACATACGTTTATAGATAATACATAATGTAACGTGAACTATAATATAATAATGCACCATAAGAGAAATTGTGTTATATAGAGCCAAGATTGATATTTTGCCAATTAACTTAGCACAAATAAAAGCAAATGGGACTTTTAAAAGTTAGGCTATATATTATATTATGTACGTAATTACTCAGTGTAATAAATCATTAAACTGGAACTGAAGTGCTGGGTTGTGCAGTGTTACTGGTCGAGTAGAAAACACACGTCCACAGCACTTCTGCAACCATAGTATTGACATCGCCTCATGATTTTGAGGGTACATTCATATGATTATGGGCATCTGCATAGGATTATTTACAAAAGCAAGAATTCCAGGTGAATTCAAAGAGAATTTCAAATTTAAGGCCAGAGTAGCCAAACTGGAGGCATAGCTGACTTTGAGAATGTTTTTTATTCATCTGTTTTGCTTAAAAGAAACACTATAGAGTCAGGAACACAAGCATGTCTTCCTGACCCTATAAGGTTAAAATCACCATCTAGCCCACTCTGCCCCTCCCCCCCTTACCTCCCTATATCTAGTAAAATTGTACTTATATTCAAGTCTGCAGCCGCTGCCTCTTTCCCTGATATGCATGCTTGGCTGACATCATCAGAAGTGATTCTCTGAACCAATCACAATGCTTCCCCATAGGATTGTCTGTGACTGTCAAGGAGGCAGATCAGGGGCAGAGCCAGCACAATTCAAACACAGCCCTGGCCAATTAGCATCTCCTCATAGAGATTAATTGAATCAATGCATCTCTTTGAGGAAAGTTCAGTGTCTGCATGCAGAGGGTGGAGACACTGAATTGCAGTGCTGCTCACTGTACAGTACTGCCCCAGGAAGCACATCTAGCAGCCATGTGAGGAGTGGACATGTGAGAATTAAAAGTGAATGCAAAGATAGTTTTAAATACACACCTGCATTCACACACACAAAAATACAAATTACAATATATGTGATAACAAAACAGCACGCAAAAATAAAATTGTAATAGATTTAATGTAATGTAAAATACTTCCTACAACTTGGGGCTTGTTTTGCCCAGAATCCCAGGAGACCTACGGGGCTTGGTTACAGATTTGTATTTATTGGAACATGAATGTTACTGGGGAATACATTTCTAAAAATTAAATTATGCACAACATCCACAGACTTTCTGAATGTGTGCTTGTGTCTAACTTTTTTTTTATTTATTCAAAATTCTCACCAACGTGTACAATATTCTGGGAGCGCTGGATTTGAATATTATCCTGATAATAATTGTTTACCTGCAGCTAAGTACCAAAGGAAAATCTCACCAACCCGATTGCCAGAGAAGTAATTGTATAAATTATAAATGGAAAACATCTATACATAATCAAGTAATTTTTTTTTCCAAACTGTCACTACAAACAGTCCCATGAGCAAGATTGAAGTCTGTACATCTCAGACAATTGATTAATGTGTAAATCACTTCCAGAGGCAATGTATAATACTGTAAATATATCTCTTACAGTTTCTAAACAGCAGGAAGTTCACATATGCCTTGTAAAGCACTACAGAGTGTGTCTGGATGAAAAGTATGAGATATCAGAGAAGTGGCTACTCAAAGATTTGGAGTACATTGATGGCAAGGAGGCTGAAACTGTAAGTGGTACAAATAATATTTTAAGGGGACAATTATGCAAATGTACAGTATTTTTTTCGCAGTTTTCTTTTTCTTTTTTTTTTATAAAGCCATTGACCTAAATTTGTTCCACAGCTTTATATGGGACACACAAAAGACGATCCAGAACTCAATCTAGTCCATCGAAATTGTCTGGCTTGTCTGATGGATTGTAAAGCTAGCAAGTTCTTGACTTCATATCAATAATGTTGGTACATGAAGACATTCCATTTGTGATTCTCTCCAAGCATCATTTATTCTCAAGCACCTTTAAAGGGACACTATAGTTACCAAAACAACTTTAGCTTAAAGGGACACCATAATCATCAGAACAACTACAGCTTATTGTATTTGTTCTTGTGAGTATAGTCAGTCCCTGCAGGATTTTTACATTAAACACTGTCTTTTCAGAGAAAAGATAGTGTTTACATTACAACCTTGCTACACTACAAGTGGCCAGTCCTCAGTTGGCTACCAGAGGTGCTTCTTAGAGCAGTGCTGCACACCCTCTCCAACCTCTCCACTCTCTACAAGGAGACACTGAAATTTCCTCATAGAGATGCATTGATTCAATGCATATCTATGAGGAGATGGTGATTGGCCAGGGCGATTTTTGGTTCTGCCCCCACCTGCCTCCTTGGCTGAGATCATCAGAATTGATTATCTCAGCCAATCCAATCCTTTCCTATAGGATTGGCTTAGATCAACACTTCTGATGATGTCAGCAAAGGAGGCAGATCAGGGGCAGGGCCAGCACCAGCATACTGGAAGAAAAGGTATTTAGTAAAATACCTGCCTTTTATTGAATCCAGCACTAGTAATATTCTGTGCCATTGCTGTGTGTATATATTCATGCACATTATATATCAGGCATCAGTTGATTTTAATTACTCAATTGTATAGCACTAATGTTATTCTGATAACCCTTAAATCTTAATTCTATATTTCCAACTTGGGCTTGTTCTAGTTATTTTCTGCCCACAACCAACAATTTCCCTAGTACATTAAATTGTTCTATATTCAGGCTCTCTAATTATTAGGCATGTGCATGGGAAAAATTTTTGGTTCGGTTCGGTTTGGCATTACAAAATTCGGGTATTCGGCACTTCGGAACTTCGGCAACTTCGGAACTTCGGCACTTCAGAAATTCAGGAAATTTGGGATCTCTGCAATTCGGCACTTCGGCAACTTCGGGACTTCGGAATTTCGGAACATCTCTTGCAGCCGCTTGGTAGATAACTCCCTAATTCCCAAGGTATTAGGGAGTTATCTACCAAAAGGCTGAAAGACCTAAATTGGTCTAAATTGGTCTTTCAGCCAAATTTACTAATACTAAGTAAAAATTACTTAGTATTAGTAAATTGTGCCCCTACTCGCTATACCGCGAGTAGGGGCATGACTATTAAACAGTGAGAAGCCAGTGGCTGCTTTTTAAAAAATGGGTCCCCCCTCCTGAGCCCCCTCCCGCGACGCGCGAGTGGGGGGTTTTAAACTAAAGGGGGGGCTATTGAGTGGCGGGTGGGGGCCCTAAAGTAAAATAATGGGGGGGACCTATTGCCCCCACCTCAGTCCCCACCCCTGAGCAGCGGGTGGGGGCCCTAAAGTAAAATAATGGGGGGACCTATTGTCCTCCCCCCTGGCCCCCACCCCTGAGCAGTGGGTGGGGGCCCTAAAGTAAAATAATGGGGGGACCTATTGTCCTCCCCCCCACCCCCACCCCTGAGCGATGGGTGGGGGCCCTAAATTAGAATGGGGGGATCTAATGTCCTTCCCCCTGGCCACCACCCCTGAGCAGTGGGTGGGGCCCCTAAAAACTAATTAGGGGGGACCTAACGTCCTCCCTCCTGGCCCCCACCCCTGAGCAGTGGGTGGGGGCCCTAAATACTAATTAGGGGGGACCTAATGTCCTCCCCCCTGACACCCACCCCTGAGCGGTGGGTGGGTGCACTAAATTAGAATAAGGGGGAGGACCTAATGTCCCCCCTCCTGGCCCCCCACCCCTGAGCGGTGGGTGGGGGCCCTAAAACACTAATTAGGGGGGACCTAATGTCCTCCCCCCTGAGTGGTGGGTGAGGACCCTAAAATACTAATTAGGGGGGGACCTAATGTCCTCCCCCCTTGCCCCCACCCCTGAGCGGTGGGTGGGGGCCCTAAATAAAAAAAATAACCCCCCCTCCCCTGGGTGACTAGGGGTCCCCAAACCCATAGTCACCCCCCTCCCCCAAAAAATTAACCCCTACCTACCCCCCTCACCCTAAAAATAATGAGGGGGGAACATTTATATAAGTACCTGAAAAAAAACAAAAACTTACCATTTGATGTTTTCTTTCTTCTAAAATCTTCTTTTTTCAGCCCCAAAAAAGGCCAAATAAAAAGGCTCAGAGCACTCTGATTGGTGGGTTTAAGCCATCCAATAAGAGTGCTCTGACAGGTAAATGAAGAGACTGACAGGTAAGTCTCTACATTTACCTGTCACAGCACTCTGATTGGCTGGTTTGGAATCCACCAGTCAGAGTGCTCTGTGTCATTTTACACAGCGTGGGAAAGTTCTTTGGAATTTTCCCACGCTGTGTAATTTGACTCATAACTCTCTGATTGGTGGATTAAATAACCAAACAGGCTGCTCACTGTTTAATAGACATGCCCCTACTCGCGGTATAGCGAGTAGGGGCATAATTTACTAATACTAAGTAATCTTTACTTAGTATTAGTAAATTTGGCTGAAAGACCAATTCAGGTCTTCCAGCCTTTTAGTAGATAGCTCCCTAATACCGTGGGAATTAGGGAGTTATCTACTTATTCATTCCTGTCATTACACTGACTGGCCAAATAACTTACATTTTATATGAATGTATGTTACATGATTGTTGTAAGTGTTGCAAATGCTTACTGCTGAATCCTGGCTATGTTTGTATACTTTTTATCTAATATTGTATACAGTGTAACATTCTTCTTCTTCCACTGGGTAAGTATATTAGTACTTAGGCAATACTGTGCTTTGGCACTTCAGCAACTTCGGCACTTCGGAAATTCGGTAATTTCGGAACTTCGGATCCTCGGTAATTCGTCACTTTGGCTATTCGGACATTCGGAAGTACCCGAATGTCCGAATTGCCAGAAATTCGGCCGAATTCACATTCGGCCCGAAACGAATTGCACATGTCTACTAATTATAGATATTTTCTATTTATGAGAATTGTTACCTGGTGCCAGGTATTCTGTTGCTGCCTTGTAAGAGGTTTCTATTATTTCATCAGCCCAGCCCCCTCTATAATAGAACTTTGCTACCTCTTTTCCAATGTCTGCATGTCGGCACACACCGCCGTCTGTACCAATCTGACCTGACACCTGGTTTTTATTAAGTTGAGAAAATATATAAGACTAAAAACAGACATTTCAATCACTATATGCATTAGCACAACATCTCCATGGATTTCTGACAGCTTGTTTCAGCTTGTTATATTTTGACGATCATTTTTTTTTTTTTACGTAGCTATACATACTGAATTCCATATTACTTTCATAAACTTGTTCATAAAATACGGTGTATATGTGAATATTAACTAGATGAGAAGATAATTTGTCATAGTTATTAATCATCATCATCATTACAATAATAGTGTTTTATTTTCATCCAACAGGATAACTCAAATTTTGACATGATGTTTGAAGAAGTCTGCAATATGGAAGCTTATAGTTGTGCCTCAAAATACGCCTTTGCACGAAGTATTATTAAACTCAACACACTCTACACTAAAAAGGACATCAAAGTGCTTAATTTTGACTCTTCCTATATAGAAGAGGGTGTCATATGGTCTTCAAACAATGGGGATTGTTTAGTACTCATGAGAATATGCTTTTATGCATCTAATCTTCTGTGCCTTTCTTTGTGTCCCATGCCCTAAGAGATATGGTCCAAATCTGTGAAGATGACCTTAATTAACCCACAACACAGTAACTCCTGTACGAATTTCTACTAAAATAAAAATATGGGTTTAATGATAGTGTTATAGCATGCATAGTCAAGGGGTCAAAAGTTAATTAGGCAAAGTAATTTTTTACCCAAGCTGTTACTAGAACAATCAAAGTCTATCATCTTAGACATGGATATCAGGACATCACCAAATTTTTTAATATGGAAATTAACTGATTCTATCAAAACTAGCTAGTTGCACATGGGATTGAGCACAGATTGTAATTAAAGTTATAGAACTATGAAATATAAAAATTGCCATTATTAACAGGTCTAATTTCACAAAGGGTATGTTCACTTAAAATAGAGTTATTGCAAGGTAGATGAAAATAGCTGGGGGGGGGAGGGGGAATCTGTCCTCGTGAGGCTTATACTAAACTGGGAATTTGCTGGAATTGCAAATTTGATATCAAAATTTTATACCAAAGTAGTCAAGCTGTTTTGGAGAATTTTCTTTTTAATTTGTTTAGGTATAAAGTGTCTTATTCCATTGCCAATTCTCAAAAACTAGTGAAAAATTCCCAAAAGAATGAGAACAATTTTCTAACCAGATATGTTCGCCTAATTTAGCAGGTTGGCTAGAGCAGCCTAGATTGTTTTTTTATGTCGTACGCTGTTTGTCCTATCTTTAGCTGTGTGTGGGCAAGAGTGTACCATAACATCACAGAATATTTTTTCAAATGGAGCTTGAGTTAATAGAAAATCAATTTGGTAGCATATCATTTGAATAGCATGGTTTGGGTAGAAACAAAGGGGGCAATTATTATTTATCTTTCATAGAGTTCAAGCAGATTTCATATTTACGATATAACAGGATTACAGACACTTTGATGTTTAATAGTCTTTAAAGGAACACTATGGCATTAGGAATACAAACCTGTATTCCTAACGCTTTATTACTCATGTCCCTAACTAACTAGATCTGCCTTTCCCGAGAACACTTACCTCTTTCCAGCACTGAGGCTACCTCGGCACTGGCTCCGTCTCTTCCTCCATCACGCCAGTGGAGGACCTACTAGAAATGGAACCTTCCTTTGTTTAGTGAGTGCGCACTGTACTCTGCCTACAGTCAGCATTCTAAGAGGATGGACCTGGTCTCCCCAACCCATTCCATTTGAAGAGAAAGATTCTGCATCTGTCACCAACCAGTGGGGAAAACCTCAAAAACCTTGGACTATAAGCCAACATGCAGTGTACTTGAATTGTATTAACATTTGGATTTACCAGCATCTTCATCTATTCCCCAAGTTGCTTTTTTGAATTGATTATAGTCATTTGTTTTTGATTGTTTTATTACCTGTATATAAGGTATCGAAATGTTACAGCAAATGCTCGGCTTTCTCTTTTTAGATGTTGTGTAGAGCAGGACTCACTTTGTTAATAATGTAATAGCATTTTCTCTGCTCTCTAACACATTTTTACAATGCTAAACGATATCCTTTCTATATCTGGATTGTCTTTAAATATCGAATGATTACTGGTCACAGATAACATTACCAATATAACTCTTCGGAAACTGTCACATAACAGTGGTTTGTGGTGATCTGCCAACCAAGTTGCCAAATGTAGGCCAAAATGTCGGTAAAAAAAAATCTTCAGTTTCGAGTTACATTTTCCAACCTGTTTGTTAGCTTACCACAACTCACTGTACAATAAATAAGTCATTTATTTATGCAAAATAGCACTAAATTATGATATATTACCTTCTTGGTGCATGCGAAGAACAAACAAAAGCATACACGACATGCTATTTCCTTTAAACTTATAGCTTCTAATGCATGTTTTAATGGATAGAATATGCAATCTCCAGGTATATTACTAAGTTCCAAAAACATGTAGGTCTTGCACCCAATGCAAGGACTTCTCCACCATATACCTTCATCACTCACACTCCTTTCCCTAAATCTTATAGGCTTGACATCTTAACCCCTTAGACTCTACTTCAATTGACCCTATAAGACTTTTTTTAACCTAGGCTCCTTACCCAGGAGAACTGGTTATGCCACCGGGACCCTATTAATTGTATGTAGTGGCACTGATTGTTCCTTACTGTTATATAATGTTAGATTAGATATTATTTGAAGGACAGTCTTTAATTGTAAAGGGATTGCTGTGGCACTTTACGTACACAACGGATTTGGAAACCCAGTCCATGTTTTACTAGGGGATGGATAGTGTGGCCTACCTTAGTTAATAGGGACCTTGCCAGGATCAGATTAAATAGAGGCTGAAGCTCCGCGCCCTTGCCCGTGGATAAGGCCTATTGATTTTTTTTTAAAACTACTTTTTACATGTTCTTGCTTTGTGCAGAGGGAATTGTATGAAAACTTAAGAAGGATGTAGGGGAACAAAATTGTGTGGAAAACGGATAATGAAATTAGTTAAGGTATAGCTGACTTTGAACACATGATCTTGCTGTTTTGGTCTTTCTACTAGTGTGTCCCCTTTCTTCTACACTCACTACATCCACCTTTTCTCTGTCCCAGACTGCATACCAGGAGCTATTGACTGCTAGTAAGAAGGTAAGAACAGGAGGGGACAATCCCCAGAAAGAGTAGAGCAGGCAAATCATTAGACACATTTGCCCCAAGCTCCGGATACTGTCTGCGTATTACGCCCTGAGTTGGCTAAATTGCATGATTGGCAGGCAGCCTGTCATACATTCATTCTTTGTGTGGTTCCGGCTACCGTATCTGCTGTTAGAGGGTATGGATTTGCTTTAGAGATAAAAATGAGACATCAGCATAGGGTATGTGTTTTCTTACAGCTGCATCAAGTAAGTTTCCCACCAACACCACCTCCATCAGATTGTTTGGGAGGTATGACTAGTATGTGTTTTTGTCAATACAATTCTGTAATTAGGTCCATTTTAATTGTCAGCACAAGGCCCAACGGGCTCTTAATCTGGCCCTGGAACCCCAACACTTGCCTAATAATTGTTACAATTCATAATGGCCCAGAGGAATGCTGTGCAGATCCCCTCTTTATTTTTTTTAATCTAGTATTAGTGAGCTCGTTACTGTGTGACTAACATCTTCGCAATATCTTGAGATAACTTATTTCCTACTCATTGAATTGTTGTAAATTAACCTGCCCCCCCCCCCGAAAAAAAACACATCGAAAAATCTGTTTTTTATTTTTTATTTTCACAAATGAATAATCCAACATTTTGCACATTCTTGAATAAATTGCTATGTGTTAATGTTTGTCCCTTAAACCATTTTTTCACTAGAGAAAAAAATACATGGCAATCATGCTCTAATCTACCACTTTTACTTACTTGAACTTAAAGTGTAGATGTCGGCAAACATCAAGGTCCTCATTTAAGGCCCATAAAATCAGTCTATGATGAGAGAGTATACAACATCAATAATCAAATACTCCCTCTGAGAAGTCCGAAGCATTTATGTCTGGCTAATGGTATTAGCTGCATGAATGCACCAAATTCATGTAGCTGTGTTGTATATATGATTCTGTGTATCTATTGCTGTGTGGTTGTGTATATCTATGTGTTTGTCTGTATGTAGATGTATGTCTATATTTGGGCATATATATGAATCTGTAAATGTAGAAGTGTAGATATACAGGGTCAGCCAAAATTTAGAATAGGGTTTGAGGAGTCAATATCATCTTCATTAATGAACCAATTTCAGTTGTTTGACTAGGTACAGTAGATGACTTCTTTTAACCCCTTCAGGACCGAGGATGGTTCAGGACCGTCATCGGCATTTTTGCTGTCCTAACGGTCTTATGTACTTACCCGATCGCCGTCATTCCCCCGGCAGCGTTAGTCCCGTTGTGGGGAGACTGCCTGCAGCCCAGACAGTGTCCCCATGGCGGATTAGGACCCCTGGGGCCATGTGATCGCTCAACAGAACGATCACATGGTCATAATAGGTGTTAATGTGTCTGCCTGCAGGGGGACTGCCTGTGCTGACAGGCAATCTCCCAGCAAGTGTAAAATCATAAAAAAAATTATTTATATATATATTACATGTCTATATATCATATATATAATGCCATACTAAGTGTATTTTTATATTAATATGTACATTAATATAAAAATACACTTATAATTAAATTACACACGTATATATATATAATAACTATATATATATATGATTTATAAATATTATTATAAAATACAAATAAGTAATTTAAATTAGATAAAAACATGTAAAAATAATAATAAAAATTAAAAAAAATATATATCTATATGAAATTTTATTCTAACTGTATTTTGATAGTAATATATATATTTATATCAAAATACACTTAGAATGAAATTGTATATATATCTATGTATATATAAATAAAAATAATACGAAATATACATATTTTCCATATACAAAATTATATAAATAATTATATAAATATACATGTAGACTTCAAATATGTAAATATGCATATATATTTAAATTCTACGTGCGTATTTATGTAATATTTTTACATAATTAAGTAATTTTATTGATTGCAATTTGAGGGACCTGTCTGCCAACCCAGGCCAAAAGTCCAGAGAATTTAATTTGCTAGCACTGTATTTTAGCCTCTTTCTATGACACCCTAAAACCTGTACATGGGGCGTACTGTTTTACTCAGGAGACTTCGCTGAACACAAATATTAGTGATTCAAAACAGTAAAACATATCACAGCGACGATATTGTCAGTGAAAATTATTTTTTTTTTGCATTTTTTTACACACAAACAGCACTTTTACTGATGATATAATTGTTGTGATATGTGTTCCTGTTTTGAAACACTAATATTTGTGTTCAGCAAAGTCTCCCGAGTATAACAGTAACCCCCATGTACAGGTTTTATAGCGTTTTTGAAAGTTACAAGGTCAAATATATGGGTCAAATATTTTTACATTGAAAAAGGCCAGGTTGGTTACGTTACCTTTGAGAGCTTATGGTAGCCCAGGAATGAGAATTACCCCCATGATGGCATACCATTTGCAAAAGAAGACAACCCAAAGTATTGCAAATGGGGTATGTCCAGTCTTTTTTAGTTGCTACTTAGTCACAAACACTGGCCAAAATTAGCGTTCAATTTAGTTTTTTACTTTTTTCCCACACACAAACAAATATGAATGGTAACTTTGGCGAGTGTTTTCGACTAAGTGGCTACTAAAAAAGACTGGACATACCCCATATTGAATACCCTGGGTTGTCTACTTTAAAAAAAATATGTGGTGTGGGTGTTATTCAGAGATTTATGACAGATAATAGTGTTACAATGTCACTATTGATACATTTTAAAAATGTATGTTTTGAAACCACAATATCCTACTTGTACCTATAGCCCTATAACTTGCAAAAAAAAGCATGTAAATACTGGGTATTTTTAAACTCAGGACAAAATTTTGAATATATTTAGCAGCTTTTTTCATTCACTTGTGTAGATGAGTAAAATATTTTTCAAGTAAAAGTCAAAAAACATGTATTTTTTTTAAATTAAATTACATGAGATTATATAAATAATGGTATGTAAAGAAAGCCCCTTTTGTCCTGAAAAAAAACAATATATAATTTGTATGGGAACAGTAAATGAGAGAGCGGAAAATTACAGCTAAACACAAACACCACAAAAGTGTAAAAAGAGGCCTGGTCGCAAATGTACAACATCGCAAAAACAGTCCAGTCCTTAAGGGGTTAAATGAGCTCCATTTTCTGCTTGGCAAAGTCTGACTCTTTTGATTGCATTGTTCATAACATTAGTTATTGTTTCATGTTAGTTAATGCTCGAATTTCTGCACAAATATTCTCCTCTGGATCGGAGAGGTTGGGCAAAGATGGCGGCCAATTAATCTGGTAATTTATTGAAATTAGCTGCTCACCGCACAGTTGTCTCAGAAGGTCCATTGTGGCCCTGGCTGTATGGGTAGTATCCCCATGCATTTGAAATCACATTTCATGACAATTTTTCAATACAGGACCTAAAAAAATTTCAATCATATACCGATATGTATTTTTATTTGTTGTTCCTTTGTGAAATTACCCATTAATAATCTCCTAAGACTCAGTTATAATATCCTCTAGACTGTCAACTCATTGGAGCAGTGTCCTCTACAACCTATTGTTCCTGTAAATTATTGTAGTTGTCTTACTTATGGTTACATCTCCCCCTTTTTATAATATTGTAAAGCACTACTGAATATGTTGGCGCTATATAAATGGCAGTAATAATAATAATAATAATGATAATATGTAACTAAATAACTGCTAACAAATTAGTTATTTACCTGTCAAATCCTACTCTGCATTCTGACCCACCCTGTAGGTACTTGACACTGTATTCCTGTTTCGAGTGCGTGTGTCAGTTTTGTTTGTGCAAATGTATGTGTCCATTTTCTAAACATAAAAATCTGACACAAAATCCAGTAGTGCCTCTTCTGAATTCAGTGTCAGCATCTACCCCTGAGACAGTGATAGAGAGAAAGCAAGTCAGTAAAAATGAAGGCAGTGGATTTTGAAAGAAGGGGGAACAGTGACCTTTAGACAAAAGTGGCAATGAAATGTCCCCATTTCTTCAGATCTGACTTTTTGCCTGTATAAATGTGACCAGTAATATGAGAAGGAGAGGGAAAAATATATCACACACTCAGGTATTCACTTACTCAAACGGATATTTCATCCACACACATCACCATACTCACACCCATGTTTAAGCACCATGCTTTTGAAAAACAAATACAATTTTGTTGCGTACGTATTTCTGTACTTCAAGACTGGCTAATGGGTTCATATTTGAAATATTTAGCCCTAGCATAAGTTATGGTGTAAGGAGAGCTTCTATACCGGTTTCTCTGCACATTCTCTTAAAGCAGCACTCAACTGAAAATTGGACACAACATTCAACCAAAAAACATTCCATCCTCTAACTATAATAAATGAATTAGAATGCAATTCAATCATCCCCAATTGTTCCATATAAATCATTGTATACTGTGTGTTAATGAAAGAGGATTAGAAGATGAAATGTCTTCCTTGTGAAATTCCGATGGGTGTTTAATTATCCATAATATTTCAGTACAGGATAATAAGAAATGCATTATTGCTATTACATATTTAAACATGTGTTTATTTACCTAAAGTATCCAGAATATATAATTTTTGACATGTAATGATGTCCTTAGTATATTTGATTGGAATTTCCTGCTGGCTGTACAGGGATTTAATATGGAACATTAACTGTTTCTATTGCACATGACAATAATCAATATATACACGCCAGTTTGGTGAGATAAGAATACAGGTTAAGGTTAATATGTTGATGATTATTTATTTATGGTCTGTTAACCTAAAAATATAAGGTTAGAGAAGTATATAAAAAGTCATAAGACAACAGTATATTATAATATTCAGGGGTCACTTCCATAGCATTGCTCAGGATACACTTTAGTTATCTGATTTTATGTTTTGTTTTTTGTTACTACAATTGAATAAAGTTCAGATTTTTTTTTTTACCCAAAATTGAAGTTTGTGGAACATTGATTTATGTGTTATTTAATGTGGTACATTAAGTGTCATAATCCCTGTGGCTCACTGTAGTGGTTATAGTACAAAATGTCTATAAGTGTCTGTGCCCCAGTGTGGTCAAGCCGTTTGAGCAGCTTGACAGAAATCCAGCCTGGATTACCCCAATCCCTAGAACTGTCTGCTGATCACTGCTGTCCACATCTGGATGTCTAATGCAGAAGTTCACTTAGCTTTTGGATTCAATTAGCTAAGCTGCAGAGAAGAAGTTGGTTCTTATTCTCCAGAAGAGCCTAAGTTTTTGCCAAACAGGACACGTTCAACAGCAACTCTGTGCAGACCATTTTCCTTTTGACAAAAAAAAATGAAAGTTCTGAGCCATAATACTTACCAATTTCTGCAGAACTGATGTGTCACAAGTCAATAAGAGCTCCCACAAAGTCTGCTAACATTCTGGCTATGCTTTCCACCCAGTAGAAACTTACATTCTCTGATGGTGGAATCAAGAGGTGGAGGCGTCAATCCACCACGTGGAACCATGTGAGGGCCTGGACTAAGATGCTGGAGGAGAAGGAAGATGAGATTATCACCCACCATAATTCTCTTTCAGATGAACATTTGGCCCTGTGCAGGTAAAGGGAGCTAAAGCTGAAAGTCACTGATTTAGAGGATAGGGCCCAGGGAATCTGGCCACAGATTTACCAACAACAATTGTTTGAGATTTTTTATTAGAGCTCCGCCCTGATATTGAACCAGATTAACTGTACACACAGGCTGTCTAATTTCGCTCTACAGTTTAGGAGGTAATTTACATCCGTAACTAAGATTTTGATGGCCCAGCATTTGCAATACTGATGGGGCTATCCTACAAAACTTTTTATTTTTAATGATGGCTGTATATTACAGCTTCCACTCCCATGGCAGCCCCAAAGCTACTCTATCAATGGGGCTTATCATTCAGAACTACCTTAACTTGAAAAGAACACTGAGCATATGTCACCCAAGCTTTCCCAGGAATAGTCCCAGGTACTTATCAGATTCTCAAGATCACCAGCATCACCTGCACAAGATCATGCTTAAATATCGTGCATTCCAAATAAAGCTCCTTCTATATTTTTAGTTTGTTAGACAGCATTTTTATCATACCATCCCATACTGACACTTTTTTAAAAACTGACAGTTACACTATTTAATATATATATATATATATATATATATATATACACACATATATACACACACACACACACACACACACTTTTTTCCCCATTTCCTTTTATTTTCAGGCTCTACTGAGCACAATGTCATAAACCTTATTTTGGCTCTTCCACATATGGCTTGGAATTTAATCTTTTCAGAACACGTAGTAGGCATGTGCATGGGAAAAATTTTCTGTTCGGTTCGGCATTCCAAAATTCGGGACTTCGACGCTTCGGAACTTCTCTTGCAGCCGCTTGGTAGATAACTCCCTAATTCCCACGGTATTAGGGAGTGATCTACCAAAAGGCTGAAAGACTTAAATTGAAAAAAGGCCTGCGGCTGCTCACTGTTAAAAAAAAAAAAAAAGGTTCCCCCTGCTTTTAAACTAAAGGGGAGGCCTATTTCTACCCCGGCCCCCACCCCTGAGCGGTGTGTGGGGGCCCTAAATTAGAATGAGGGGGGACCTATTGTCCTCCCCCTGTCCCCCAACCCTGAGCGGTGGATGGGAGCCCTAAATTAGAATGAGGGGGGGACCTAATGTCCTCCCCCCCGGCCCCCACCCCTGAGTGGTGGATGGGGGCCCTAAATTAGAATGGGGGGGAAACTAATTGAAAAGGATACCGATAGGGGGCGCTCTAAAAAGTGTGTAATACCAAAAGTATAGCAAATATACTTATTGATACTTATTCTTCATATCACATGTACTCCACCTAAATATAAAAGATAATGCATAGCATAATACTGTTTGGTGCATTTGTTGTAGAATTATTAGGCCTCTATAAATCTGTAAGGCCCCTTTAAATCCTCTTGCTATACCTCTAAGAGGCCCCCCATAGTTTTACAAGAAAGCTTTGTCTATAGAACATAGAATTTGCATGTCAGCAAGAAATAGCTTTGATAAAATGTGTATTTACTAAAAGCCTTGAAACCTAGCCTTGAGAAAGTAACAAGTGCCAGTTACGCTCTAAATGGATAGCTGCCAAAAGGCCCCTCCCGTCGAGTAAGCTCCTCATGTTAGCAAAATGGCGCTAAAACCTGGGGGAGAAAAGCATTACGTAGATAGTGACCTAAGAATGGGGAGGGCATTTTACTAACATCTTAGCACCTAAGCCAATTAACAATGTCTATTTGTCTATATCTTGATTTTCTTCAATGATGTAATAATGCCTTTATAAGGGTCTGCGCACCCATTTTCTGTCAGAAGCCATTAAACTTCTCTGAAGTTCTTTCATTACCCTGAACCTTGTGTCTCAGTGTGAATTTACTTCTGCGTGCACGCAACTTTATTATCTTTAATTTGGACAGGAACAGATAGTCATTCAAACTAATTGGTTTGCAGTAAATTATCTAGAACAATTGGCGCTCTCAACGTGGGGCTCTGGGCTATGTCCAGTCTGGGCAGCTGTCCAAGAAGACGCTGGGGGGGCTGAATCCTGGGGGAAGGAAAAGAGCCTGATCACCTCTGAATACACGGTAGAGATTGCTGCAGCACCTAGCCGGTATGTTCCTACCCCTGTGATTGACCTGCCCCAGTGTCTGTGACTGCTGCCGAGAGGACATCAAAGTCAGGTAATAACTTGCCCAGAGTCTTTGTATTGTTAATGATACCTAGTTTACCTGCATGTTGACTATCTGTTGCCTGGGTGTGTTTGTATTGGTATGTGTTTAACTTAGTACCCGGGGAGTGTAAGTGCCTGTTTAACCCCTTTTAGGTATCACATGCCTGTGGTAGTAAGGAAAAAGGGGGGTGGACCTGTGGAAGTTTTCCTGGGGGTCCTCTATTGCCTGTTTAACTCTTTTAGGAGCCACGTGGCTGTGGCTGTAAGGAAAAAGAGTAGGGGGGATCTGTGGAGGGCAGTAGACTCACTGCTTCCTGGGGATCCCCAGAGTGTCATTTTGACCGCTTAGCTAGCCTCATCAGACACTTCTTCTTGGTAAAATTCCAGTCTCAAGCGCTGAGACAGGTAAGATTCCAATTCTTTAGGCTATACAGGATTCGGGTTGGAAGCTGTTGCTGTTTCCTGTGGCTGCTGGTAGTGAGACTTGCGGGTGGGTCCGCAACAGGGACACTACGAGGTTGAGGGAGGTGGCTTTTGGCCACACGAGTAAAGGCAAGGGATAAAACTGTTGAACTTATTTGAACTGTGATGCATGCACTGTATTTACACTGAAATGTTATTGTCTTAATTGTCTGTCACACAGATTCCTGTGTTTACTTCTATCTTACTCACTGTACTATTTACACTTTCCCCTCCTATTTCTCTTTCTCTTTGTTGAGAGAAGTGATTGGTCACACACTTCTCGCCACGCTCCAATCCGCGGCTACCACGGGTAGGCGGAATCAGTGACTAGTCTACGTTTTGGGAAGACGTACTTAAAGAGCTTGCTCTTAAAGTAGCAGTCGAGCACGGTAGACGTTCTGTTCCTTTCTCTCTCTATATCTGGGACGCCTTGTATAGGGAGGATGGGACAGAAGTTAGATAAACCCAGTAAGGGTTGGTTAGCATGTGATCTAGTGGAAGACAGAGAAGGAGAAGAGATGGTTAAGAAAGTGAGTAAGATTGCTAAAGTATGTGGAATTACCGTACCTCTGTGCGGCAGATTGTAGCCAGAGAGCTGGCGTAAGTTACTGACAGAAGAAAGGGAAGCTGTCGGACCAAGATTTGGTTTGTACAGCAGAAGCCTGGTACCGAGTAGCAAGAGCTATTCAGCAAAAGGGATAGGTTGAGGAAGATATTGATCACAAAGGTTTAAGATTGTATGTATATCATAATAATTGTGTTACTGGGAAGTTATCCCAGCAGTGCCCTGTCCAGGAGGTGACCACTTCCATCATCCTGTCAGTAATGACCGAAATGTAGCTGACCATGGTCACCATCCCACCCCAATCTTAAAACGCTGTGGGGTTTTTGTATTTTGTGTTAGCCATTACCCTGGTAGAGGGTGGGGGTTTAAATGAAATGTTGTGTTTTTGCTTTGTAATGTAATTGTCCTTCTGTCTTGTTACTGTACAGCGTTGACATGGTTAAATTCGTGCTGGCAGGCAGTCTCTCTCTTGTTCCACTCAAATCCCCCTCTGCTAAAACACCCCCCCCTCCCCTCGCTTCTGTGAGACGCGGGGGGGAGGGGGCGGAGGGGGGTGGTGACATGCTTGCGATTTAGGTCTGTCTCTTCGGTGTTCTGTAGAGTTATTCAGAAGCTACTGATAAGAGTATAAGGTACTGAGGATTGTGGGAGTGACGAGCTCACAAGATTGCATTCAGTGTTGAATACGGGATTTAGGAAGGTGTAGAGGGAATATGCGATGTTGTTAAGTCAGTATAAGAGGAGGAAAGTGATTAATGGTTTGAGGAAGATAAGGGAATTTGGTTGAATTCCGCGAGTTTATTTTGCATCATTTTATTATTTTAAAGTTATTTTAAAGTACATGTTTCTAGAAACAGCTGTATGGGCTGTTAAATGCATAATGTTCTCAACTGTCTTATTTAACCTGCCAGGTCTGTTCATAGTTTAGTATTTCATTTTGCAGAACGGAATGTTGCTTCTCTGACTTATTTTAATAGTTATAATATAGTGTATTGTTGAAGGTGACGTCACTTCCGCCCTTACCATGCCCACACCTCCTGTCTTCCTTTCCCACATCTATCATGGACGTCATCTCACTTCCTCCCTTGCTGTCATTTCCTTCCCCGCCCCTGTCATGGCTGCCTCCATCATGAGGCCTACCCCTATTATGCTCGTCCCATTTAGATAATTACTGGAACAATCATGCCATTTGTTTCCCTGTATCAACAATTTGTCCGTGATATAAAAAAAAAAAAAAAAAGAAGGTTGCTAAAATGTAATTTGCAACTGTGGTGTGACCTACAAATGAGATCTGTTGGACACGAATATAAGAGCATAACAGCTGATTATCCAGCTTCATCTTGCAACAAGGGAAATAGCTAAATAATGCAAGTTATTTTAAACATTGTATCTTTACTTAATCGAATCTTGCTAGTTACAGATCTTATGTTTACAGTAACATCCTTTACTTTAAATGATGGTTTAGCATTAGAAGGGTTTGTGGCATGTTTTATTAACCCAGCCACTACTGGTTGTTTACTTAGTTACAGGGTGGTATAATTGTTATAGTCTAATTAATATAAATGATAGTACCGCAATAGTTAATGTTTTATCCAAAGACATATAGGAACTTTACTTAACTTACTATTAACCATTATTTATAATGATAGACATGTTCAGACTGCAAAAAAGCTATGGCTAATGCCCCTGCCATGGCAGTGTCTACAGGGAACAAGGGGGGCCACTAGCCACTGTAACTTTACCTATTGAAGGTCACCCTACTGCTTTCCTGGTTTCCTGGTTAACACAGGTGCATCCCGCAGTGTTCCTAGAGAACAAGACCTGCCTGACTCATCGTTCCTGCCTGACACCGATGTCTCTTGTGTTGGTGCTGATGTCCTATCCCGCCTCCAAGCATCCATCACCCTCACTGCAGACGGCCAGGTTCAATTAAATACGCCTTTGCCACGAAAAGACACTACAGTTCTTTGTTCCCTTCCCATTTTACTGTGGAGATGATCTACCCACAACAGAACAATGCTCAATTAATCTTCTTTACTATGTAGCAGAACAAGGATGTGAAGCTTCACGTCTCAAGCTGCAATTCTGCCAACCTACTGTTATCTTCCTTGGCCATTGTCTGTCTCAGGGAACCAGACATCTTACCCGTGACCGAGTTAGAGCGGTACTGGACATTCCACCTCCAAGGACCTCGAAGTCACCACACGCCTTCCTAGGCCTCATTTCCTATTGCCGAGCATGGATCCCAGAAGCCTCGCTCCTTCTGCAACCTCTTTATGATGCTCTCAAGTCAGACCCATTTTGCTTGTCCACAGAAGCCCTTGACAACTTCTGTTCTCTCAAAAGTGCTATTGCTTCTGCTCCTGCTCTTGGCCTACCAGACTATACCAAACCCTTCAAATTGTTTGTTTCTGAAAGACAAGGCCATGCAACAGGAGTACTCACTCAGGCTCATGGTCCTGGAGGCCGCCAAAGGCCTATTGGATTTTTCTCCTGCCAACTGGATATTGTGGCCAGAGGACGTCCCACTTGCCTTCGGGCCGTCTGTGCTGCCAAAGAGCTCATTGAAAGAACTGGAGATCTTGTCCTTGGCCACCCCTGGTTGTCTTGGCCCCTCATGACATTTCTGCCATAGTCAACCAGGTCCAACTTAAGCATGTTACTCCTGCTAGGCATCTTCGCCTTCAATGTCATCTTTTGTTGCCTGACAACATTACCCTTCAAAGATATCAAGTTCTCAATCCGTCCACTCTTCTGCCACTCCCTGAGGGGGGTGTATACTACGGATTCATCATGGACGAAACTTATGTTTTTCTTCTGACTGGCACCATCAAGAAGGAAATGCATCCCAACCTATCCTTTCATGATGGACAAGCACTCCTTCATGACGGAGCAGGATATGCCTTCTGTACCATGTGGTACAAACCAAACATCACTCCTGAACCCTGCTATGAAGATGAACTCTATCATCTGGTCGAAGTAAAACTCACTGCACAAGACTTCTACTATGATTCTGAAGGCAACAGTATGGTCTTGATTCATCTACCTCCGGAACTCAAGCATTTGTACCGTCATTGGGACACTGCCATTCCACATGTCCCTGTGACCAAGTTGAAAACAATATCATGGAATGATCTTGGGCCTATGGCAAAAGCATGGGCCACTATGGACGAATCACAGCTACAGGAAAATGGTGTTGTCAAATACCCAACAACTGACCCTAAAAGCATGGCCACGTCATTTCCTGGAAAATAAGTTCCAAGATTTAACCATAGTGAATGAATACGACCCAGATACACCTCATGACTGTTTTGAACAGATGAAAATGGAAACAACACATCTACCAACTGTGCATGAAGACCTATTGGTAGATCCCGATCTCACCCTGTTTGTGGACAGCTCAAGATATGCTGATGAAGAAGGAAGATACCATACAGGATATGCCGTAACCACAACAGATGAAATTGTCAAATCATCATCTTTACCATCAACTATGTCTGCACAAGAAGCTGAATTGCAAGCCCTGACTTCAGCATGCAAGATCTCTGAAGGAAATCGCGCCAATAACTACACGGATTCAAGATATGCACTGGGCGTGGCTCACGACTTCGGATTAATTTGGAAAACAAGAGGATTTCTTACTACCGCCGGTACACCAATCAAGCACGGTTCCGCAATCAAGGAGCTGATGGACGCCCTCCTACTCCCAGAAGAAGTGGCCATTCTGAAGGTAAAGGCACATGGCAAGTTGGACTCAGATGAAGCAAAGGGCAACCATCTAGCTGATCAGGCTGCAAAACAAGCTGCAAGAAAACCACAGGAAGTGGGAAGAAGAGTGTCCGGAAATGAAGAAACTCCCATATTTACTCTGCAGACTCTTCCAACTGACCTGAAAATCCTGCGGGAACAACAGGCTACAGTTGCCCCTGAAGAAATACAGAAGACCCAGCAGTCGTACAATGGGCACACAGACCTGCACATTTATCAAAAGATCTAATGAATGCTCTTGTACAAAAATACTACCTCATTGTCCCCATACGAGATTCTATTTGGGACTGCACCTAGGCTAGGTTGCTATTTTCCCCAACAACTACATCTTCAAACTGATGTTTTAGTAGATTATGTAACTGAACTCGCAAATGCTTTGAACAAAATCCATGCCCAAGTTTTCTCTTCAATTCCAGATCCTGATTCTGACACAGGCAACCACAGTCTGCTCCCCGGTGACTGGGTTCTGGTCAAGAAATTTGTGCGAAAACATACCCTGGAACCAAGATTTGACGGACCGTTCCAAGTTCTCCTGATCTCCCCTACCTCTGTCAAATTGTCCGGAAGGCCTAACTGGATCCACGCTTCCCACTGCAAGAAGACACCTGCCCCAGAGGAAGCTAACTCTATGCAACCATGTGCCTCTGGTACATTATCTCCTTAGTTGGCCTCCTTAAAGCCCAGCAGGTGGCCATCACCAAAGATGCTAGTGGGTACACTTTCTAGTATAATTCATCATGTACCCATGTGGCTACATTCACTTTTGATTACTGTGATATTGTAGAGTGCCCATTCCCTAAGTCACAGATTCAAGCCATTTATAAAGATATACCACAAGCAAAAGACCCTTACGTTTGTGTAGTAGATGAACAATGGGGTTGTGACTGTAACTACTGGGGGGCTGCGGGATGGAATACTGGGCCTGCCCGGGGTTATAAACCCAAAAGTGCTTTATCTAAGATAGACAATCAGGGTAGATCCCTCCTTCAAAGAATGACTTTAAGAAAGCCTGGAGGAAGTACCCCTATGAAATTAATGTTAAATATTGAACATCCTGGCCCCGAGGATGCAGACCGATATGTAATGGGAATGTATTGGAAGAAAGGTTCCTACAACAAATTAGGTCATTTCTACCTCAGAGATATGTACCACTCTCCAGAATGGCAAGGGGCTGATCATATGGTCCCAAATCCGCTAAAACCACATATCCAGTCCTTTAAAGATATGATGGCCATCGCTAACCCCACTTTTGAAGATACCATGGCCGCTGAAACTGGATTCAATGACATTAATTTGTGGTAAGAATGGATGAGGTATAATGCTAACAAACATAATAAAACAGCATGTTATGTATGTGGCGGTGCCCGACCCCACCTTGGCACCGTCCCCCTAACTCTCCCTTTAGAGATAGAAGATTGCTTCTTAAGCCTTTTTGCCTACCAATATGACTTTAATAGGTCCCTCTGCATGGCATGGACGGCATAATACCCTCTCTTAGTTGAAAATGTTAAGCCACCAGATGGAGTCACAGTCTATAGAGGTAATTACACTTGTTAT